TAATCCAAAAGATTGCCTTGAAATTTAAAACATTTTTTTATGATAATTGAATCTAGCGGGTATATATATATATGTATATATTCAAATTACAAATTAAATATTTTAGTTTATAGAAACAGTAATAAAATAATAATCAGAAATAAATTTGTAGGTACGACAGGATCATATCAAACACTCAAAGAGAACAACATGTCAGTCTATACAGAATATGTGACTTTATGCAACCAGGCGGATATACAGGAAAATGAGATGAAGGTGTTCGATTTCAATGAAGACACAAAAGTATTATTAATAAAACAAAATGGTGAACTTTCGGCAGTTGGTAATAAATGTTCGCATTACGGAGCACCATTGCATACTGGCGTATTGGGCCAAGGACATGTACGTTGCCCTTGGCATGGTGCTTGTTTTAATATAAAAACGGGAGATATTGAAGATTTTCCCGGCTTGGATTCGTTACCTTGCTTTAACGTTCAAGTGGAGACAACTGGGGAAGTAAAAGTTAGAGCTAAAAAGGTGGACCTAACAGAAAGCAAACGGCTTAAAAATATGGCTTCGTATTGTCCTGAAACTAATTTAACTTATGTTGTTGTTGGCGGTGGCCCGGCTGGTGCTGTTTGTGCAGAAACATTACGTCAGGAAGGCTTCACTGGTCGTGTAATTATGATTTGCCGGGAGAACGCTTTACCATATGATCGCATTAAAGTTTCTAAATCAATGAATATTGAACTCGGAAAAATTGAGTATCGTAATTCATCGTTTTACAATGAACATAGCATAGAAACCATGGTCGGCGTTGAGGCTACTAAATTGGATATTGAATGTAAGACCGTTTTATGTTCCAATGGAAAATTAATACAATACGATAAAATATTTATCGCAACTGGCTGTTGCCCAATAAAACCACCAATCAAAGGTGCCGATTTAAATAATGTAGTAACTGTTCGAGATCATTCGGATGCCGATTTTATAAATAATTTTGTTGATGCTGAAAAAAATGTCGTGTGTCTTGGTAGCAGCTTTATTGCATTGGAAAGTGCAGCATATCTTGCTAAAAAAGTGAAAAGCGTAAGTATGGGCGTAGACCAATAATGTCTATGGTATTAAACTTTTTTCCCATTTGCCTACCTGCACTTACTTTTAGCTTATAAGGTACATCTTTTTAAGTTTCATATTTTTCCACTTTTGACTTTCTGAACTTTCACTTGCATGAATCATGAAGTAAACTTAGTACTATACTTTATTACTATATTTCAAATATTATTTGTAGTAATTATTAACTGAACATTTGTTTTATAGGTTACTGTCATTGCTCGCGATGAGGTGCCACTATTGGCTAGTTTTGGTAAAGAAATCGGTCAGCGAATACTTGATCTTTTCACTGAAAATGGTGTGAAAATAATAACGAACAGCGGAATAACTGAAATCTTCGGTAGCGATGATAATAAAGTGAAGGAAGTGATCTTAAAAGATGGATCGAAATTACCATGTGACCTTCTTATTATGGGTACTGGCTCAAAGTTTTACACAGATTTTCTTAAAGAGTCTGGTGTTGAACTTAACGCCAACGGGACAATAAATACGGATATGTATCTAATGACTAATGTTCCATCTGTGTTCGCAGGTGGAGATATTGCTAACGCACCCGTTTTTTCAAATGGAAACCAAAGAACCCACATCGGTCACATACAACTTGCACAGTATCACGGACGTATTGCTGCCATTAACATGGTCGGCCAAACCCAAATAAAGCTTAAGAGCATTCCATTTTTTTTCACCATGATATTTGGAAAAGGCCTTCGTTATGCTGGATATGGAAAATATTCGGATGTGCTTATCGAAGGTGACTTGCCAAATTTTAAATTTGTTGCATATTACTTGAATTCGAATAATAAAGTCATAGCGGTTGCTTCTTGTGGACGTGATCCAATTGTTGCACAATTTGCCGAATTGCAAGCTCAGGATAAATGCTTACATCGATCTGATATTGAAGGAAAGGAAGACCCGACTGCATGGACCAAAAATATGAATGCAGATGCGCCATGCAAGTTACCCGCCATGAATTATTGAACTCTAATATGAAATTGTTATTTTATTTATATTCAAACTTGTTAATTTATTTTGTATTATTAAATTTTAAGTATTTGTACAGTGAATACACATAAATATTATTACAATACATAACAAATATATTTAATAACAAAAGGTTAGAATTTACCTACATGTTGATACTCTTCACTCAAATGATAAACTAACATAATATGTATTTATATATATATATATATGTATTCATATACATATATGTGCATTTATATATAAATATGTAGGAATTTTATTACTATATTGATTTGAAAGTTGATTTTAAAAACATTAATACAATTAAATTAAATTAGAGTGATACAAAATTACAAAATGTATATAAGAAAAAAATGTTTCGCGCTACTCGACCGTTTTCGCTGAACACCACGAAGCGACTGACTACCTCTTCTCTTTGTAGTCATGGCAACAAGAATTCGTTTGTTCTGCTCTCTTGTCGTACTGCACAAACACACCCCACATTCGGCCTTCCTGATCAAGCATTCGCCTCGAATGCTCCGAGGTTTTCATTGTTAGACCACGGCTTCATATATTCTGCACAAGTTGAAGTATTTTTCGGACCATCGGAATTACCTATCTTCTGAACATCATAAGAATTATTTGATTTAATTTTCACAACTTTGTATGGACCCAAAAATTTTGGTTTCAACTTAAGACCACTACCGAATTGTGTACGTTTGACAGCAACTAGGTCGTCAACGGCATACTGCCTAGCTTTTTTGCGTCGTAGGTTATACGTTTTTTTATTTTCGTCTTGCAATTTTACTATCTGTGTTTTGGCTTTAGCACGTAAATCGTCGCGATTTTCGCTAAATATCATGATCATCTCGTTGTTAATAAGTGCTTGCAACTGGTGATCATCTTTAGTACGCATTTTTACTCCAATTAACAACTCGAACGGCGTAGTCTGAATGCTTCTGGAGAACGTCGAATTAATTGCTCGCTGTACCCGGTCAACATACTTATACTACTTCGTAGGGTCATCGATACTGAGTTTTGTGAGTACTGAAGTAATAACAGCGTTCAATCTCTCCACTTGCCCATTCACTCTCGGTAAGCCAGTTGTCGTCTTAATCAGCTTAATACCTTCATCGTCACAATAGCTTAGAAAATCTTGAGAGGTGAAAGCTGAGCCTCTGTCCGATATGATGAATGCGGGATTTCCGAACGTCATACTTTGAATACACAATTTTGCGATGACTTCATTCGCTGTAGTTGATTTAGTCGCGTATAGCCAGCAAAATTTCGTAAATGCGTCCACCACAGCTAAAATGTACTTGTAATTTTTGTTTGTTGATTCCAACGGTCCTAAGAAGTCGATATGGAACGTATACAGCGGAATCTCTTCTTTTTGTAGTGGGTGCAACAGACCTTCTTGCTTACCTCGTTTGCGATTACTAAGTATACACGGGATACAACATTCAATAATTTTCTGAATTTTATCTTCAACGTTCGGTATGAAGTAGTATTTACAGATCAGCTCTTTAGTTTTTTAATAGCGAAATGACCTCTTTCATGTACTTGACTGATTATTTGCCTCTGCATACCTACTGGAATTACAATTAATTCAACATCATTAACAAGTTTGTACAGGACACCAGATTTTATAATATAATCGTTGTAAGTCTTATTTTCTTTCTTGAGTATCTCAATTATTGCTCTTAGATGTTCATCTTGTGCTTGCGCTTGTTGTATTCGCCATAATATGCTGTCTGTATCAATCATCATCATTCTACTGAGTGCGTCCACGTGTCGCATTTGAGAACCAGGACGATGTTCTACTGTGTAATTATACTCTTGCAAAAAAAAAACCCATCGCGCCACTCTCGTGCATAAGTCCTTCTTGTCCAGCGTCTTTGTGAATGCATTACAGTCCGTAACCAATTTGAATTGCTGACCCAATAAATAAATACGAAATTTTTTTAAAGCCTCAATTATAGCTAACACTTCTAACTCATAGCTACAATATTTGCGTTCTGCATCCGTCGTTTTCTTACTCATGTAGTACACCGGATGAAATCTACCATCCTCTGGAAGTTTTTGCATGAGCACTGCTCCATAACCATCGATCGATGCATCAGTGTGCACTTCGATTTCATATTGTTGGTTGAAAATACTTAATACCGGTTGCTCACTCAAAATTGTTTTCAACTGTCTGAATGCTAATTTTTGTTCATCTTTGATTTCGAATTTGCGACCTTGTTTACGAAGATCACTAAGTGGCTTCGCAATAATTGAAAAATTAGGTACAAACTTACGAAAGTAACCTGCTAAGCCAAGGAAACTTTCCAACTGTTTTACATTTTCTGGCAACTTAAACCTCATGAGTGCTTCAATTTTTGCTGGAGACGGCTCGATTTTCTGATTGCATATAACATGCCCAAGGAACTCAACACGTCTTTGTAGGAACTGGCATTTCTTAAGATTTATTTCTAGTCCGTACTGCTCACATAAATCAAAAACGATTTTTAAACGGTCTACAGCTTCTTCTTCGTCTTGCGCTGGTATTATAACATCATCGATATATGGCTTTTACAACTCATTTCTCGAAATATTGCGCAAATATGCCTTTGAAATACGCTCGGTGAATTGCATAGTCCAAACGGAACTTTACAAAATTGAAATTGTCCACTGTATGTAATAAATGTAGTGTATTTTCTCGATGCTTGTGTCACTGGAACATGAAAAAACCCATTTTTTAAGTCTATTGTACTGAAGAGTTTAGCATTCTGCAAACGATCAAGTTGATCTTCAATTAAGGGTAACGGAAAACGATCTTTGACAACTACTTTATTCAATCTGCGGTAATCTATGCATAATCTTGGAGTGCCATCGCGCTTTCGTATAAGCACTATAGGGCTATAAAACTCTGAGTCGGATGCTTCAATAATACCCTCTTTTAACCACCGTTCAATCTCTTGATCTACGATTTGCCTTTCACTAATAGGTAAACGTATTGGTTTACTGTAAATCGGCGTATCATCAGTTAAAGTTAGTGTCATTTCTACATCAGTCGATTTTATCTTTTTCGGTCGATAGTTTTGAACTAGCTCTTGAACATTCTTTTTAGTTTTAGCACTAATATCTGATGCAGCATCAATTTCGGTTTCTTCTGGAGCTATTTCTATTTGCATAACAGCTAAGTTATTATCATTTTCATGCATCTTTGTTACGAACACCCCGTCATTATTAATTTTTATTTCGGCTTGATTCCTCAACCTTTGAGGTTGAAGAATCTCAAAGGTTGAGTCCACACACTCTGATTGTACTATTTGAAAATTCATTTCATAGTCTTCGCCATCAATTAAGACATTTAAATCACATTGACCAAGGGGTTTTATTTTACTTTTACTCGTCCTTTTCCCAAATCCAACCAAGGATATTTTTGATTCGCGGAGTTTTGGTTCTTTTAAACGTATATGCATCCGTTTCGTTATTATATGACACTTACTACCTGTGTCAAATAAAGCTCGACACTTTAAATTGTTTATTTTAATTTCTTTCACCATGCTATCATCTTTAATAGACAAAACTCGTGTATTTGCATTTGGTGCATTTTCGTTTTGTTTAATTGTGCAATGCTTAGCGATATGACCATAATCACTGCATTTGAAACATTTCATACCTTTGCTTTTATTACTGAAATTTGAGGACACATGGCCTTTCATGCCACAATTATAACATAAAATATTTTTGGCTTCTTTTCCTTGTTGTTCGGCAGGTTTTTTATTCACTTTCAGGTTAACCGCACGATCTTTTCCACTTAACGATTCATAGCATTTTAGTTTTTCTTTAAACTCTCGTAGGTTTGTGGCGCCATATAAAATAATTTTATTTATATTTAAGTCATTAATGCCTTCAATCACATATTGCATTAGAGCTTCTTCTTCTATATTACCACGTGACGCTAGCTCTTTCATATTGAGAAAATATTCTTGACAACTCTCATTTTTCTTAATTTTTCTACTGCACATTAGTTTATGTAGTTCAGCACTATTTGTCGATTCTTTGAATTCGTTTATCAGAGCGTTTTTTAGCTTAAACCAATTATTTATACCTCGATCACTCATTAGGTATGTTCGCGCTAATCCTTTTATTGATTTTTTTGCAAAGACAAACTTTTGTAAATCATCCCATTGCATCATTACGGAAATATCTTCAAATTCATTTAGCCAAACATCAATTGATAACAAATCATCTCCACTAAATGGTCTTATTGAATCCTCAACATCACGAAAATTTAACACAAATTTTGGTGTAACTATATTTTCGGCCGCTATTGTAAAATTCTTTACTGAATTTTGTTTACGCTGTTGTCTTTGTCGTAACTCGTTGTTGCTTTTAATAGTTTTGTTTTGTGATGTCATACTTCTTTGTTTCACTTTACCTGTTTCTCTGTTTACTCCGTCGTCGCTTTTGCCGTATTGCTTGTCGCATCGAATTTCACTCTCTAATTCGCCTTCGGCTTCATTGTATTGGTCATTGTCGCTTGTTCCACTATTTGCTTCATCTCTCTATTCGTTGCGTTGAACGACAGCGTCATTTCGATGATCGTCTTCATTATCATCAAAATCATCATCGCTTTCGTCGTCAGTGTCGTCAACTGCATTAACGGAACATAGTAAACCGCCTTTACTTAAATTGTTGAATATGTGCACGAACAAGTCATCAGCCTTGTAGTCAATTCCCAACATGTTGCATATTGTAACTAATTCGCTGCTTTCGAAATTTGCAGTAACGTACTCCTGCAATGACTTAAAACCCTCGTCATCTTGGCTAAAGTCAAAGCCTACAAAATCCCTGAGCCGTTGCTTGTTATTTCTATCGCCTCCAAATTGAAAAACAAATTTGTGTAATAGAGCAATACTCTCCCTTCTACCTTTAGACAGAACATGCCGTAGCGAGTCGATTCTGCCCAGCGACGCCATTTCATGCAAACACTTATAACTTTTTCACACCAGCTTGATCCAATATAGTTTGTTTTAACACAGTTTTTTATCACTACAGTTTTTATTTTATCTCGGGCGAGCCCCCAAAATATAGGAATTTTATTATTATA